GCTGACCATCAACTTAATATACAACCACTCCCTATGTATATGTTGGCTCCGTCGCCTCGGTTGATCACACGGTTGTAGCTTGTTCTGGCTAGTGGAGAGAATGCGAGAGAGAAGAGGTGAGGTAATTGTTTGGTTCTTTGTCTCTGTAGGTTTGTAGCATTATTAAACGCAGGGATAGAGAGAGACGTTTGAGGTTGAGAGAGGTAACAGGTGGTATTCGTTTGTACTATTTACGTTATTAGTCGGTGAATTAATTGGGTAAATTCCTACAGAGGTTACATGGAGATGGTTGGTGAAAATAATCAATAACTTAACCTTAGCTGAAGGTGCGAATGAAAAGTGAGAAGGTTTATCTTTACAAGGTCTCTAATTTAGCTAGGATAGGTATCTCCACAATGAGCACTTCTACTATGCTATATAGTATTGGTGCTTTAATGTACAATTTAAAGTTGTACCATAACATTAAGTGTATAAGTTTAGGTTGTACCATAAAGCAATTTGTACCATTATGTTATGGTACAACTTTACAACTTGAAGTTGTACCATCACATAAAGGTACAAGTTCAAGCTGTACCATAAAAGAATTTGTACAAAAAGTATAGGTACAATCTGAAGTTGTACCATAACGTAAATGTACAATTTTAAGTTGTACCATAAAGACAAAATCCTATAGCACAAATACTATATAACATTGTAAAATTTCTCCTCCACAGTAGCTATTTATCTAGGGTGGGGTGGTATACAGATAGAGCAAAATAGTTAGAGAAGGTTAGAATTAAATTGGTCCTAATTACTAATTAGGATTAATAACTACTAATTAATTAGAATTTAACCTCAATGGGTAATGGGGAATACCTTACTCAATTTGAAATTGCCCAATTTTCTTATTACCGGTTGAACCAAAACCCAAAAGTTGGGATTTAACAGCACTTCTGAATTTTTTTTTACTCGACCAAATCCACCGTGCCTTCTATCAATCACGACATAATCTTAAAACGCACAACCACAAAACGTGGCATGGGGATACCACTCGACCACTAGAACTCTTCACTTGACACACAAAAACGAAAATAAGAAAAAGAAAACAAACCTACGTGGGGTTGCCTCCCAACAAGCGCTAAGTTAACCTCACTAGCTTGACGTTGCGGATCTATCATGTTTTGGAACATGATGCCACCGAGAGTGGATCCGCCACGTTCTCGGGGTGAGGTATGTCGCCTCCCAACTTAAGCTCGATCGGATGGCCTTCTTGGTCGGGCATCTTTGCTTTGCCCTTGTCCTTCACCAACGAGTGGTTTCCTCGACCGGCCAACTTTCTTTTCCGCTTTTCTTTCCTCTCCTTGATTGCATTCTCCAACTTAGCATGCCATGCGCTCTTCTTCTTCTTACCGGTAATGGTACCCGGCACCTTGTCCTGCTTCGCATCACATCACATGGAACTAACACACTAGCGAGTGCCTTGAGAGGCTCGCCTCCACTCACAATCATACCATTTGATTCCACTTTTTTCACTTCCTCACTCCTAGTCTTAGGATCAATTCCTAGGGTAATTCTCTCCTCACCATCTCTTAGAATCAAAGTTCCCGCATTTACATCAATTAGTGCCTTGGCGGTGGCTAGGAAAGGGCGTCCTAGTATAAGTGGCATCTCACAATCCTCACTTATATCCAGGATCTCAAAATCCGTCGGATAACAGAATTTCCCTACTCGTACTAGCACGTACTCCACTATGCCCCTAGGACTAATGACATAGCGATCGGCCAATGTGACACTAAGCCTAGTAGTCTTTAGTTCACCTATGAATAGCCTCTTAAAAAACTTATATGGCATCACATTTATGCTCTCCCCTAAATCCGCCAAGGAATTTTCTATGTGATGAGAACCGATGCAAAGAGGTATAGTGAAACTACCTGGATCGGGTTGTTTCTTGAGCAACCTGTTGAGGATGAAGGATGAGCACTCCTTGCCTAGGGTGACATTGGCGAGATCTTCGAACTTCGGCTTCTTAGAGAGATACCCCTTGAGGTACTTTGAATACCTTGGCATGTGGGCCATTGCTTAGAGGAAGGGAATGTTGAAGTGGAGCTCTGGGAGCATCCGTATGAAGCCTTCACATTTCGCTTCCAATCTTTCCTTGTGCACCCTCGTGGGAAAAGGTAGGGGTGGCGTGTACTCACCCATAGGTGGTGGAGTCGGCAATGCCTTCCTTGCCACTCCTCTCTTTTCCCCCGAGGTTTCCTCTTCTTAACCCTCGGGTAGAGGGTCTTCCTTTTCATTCACTTCTTGGGCAACGGCCTCCGGGGTCACCTTCCCACTCCTCAAGTAAATCGCATTGCACCCGGCTTGATCTTTGGGGTTGGCAATGGTTTGAGAGGGTAGGGCCCCCTTTGGTCTCTCAGTGAGGATCCCGGCAAGAATTCTAATTTGCACTTCCAAGTTTTGGAGACTCACTTGATGGCTTCGGAGTCCCGCCTCAACCGAGGTAAACTTGGATATTGCCACACCCATGAATTGCTCAATCTTCTCGAATCCATGGTGAGGGTATTGGAGGAAGTAGTCGGGGAACCTTTTCCATGCATCCCTCAATTTCTCATCCTCCTCTTGCTCAAAGTGAGTGATCTTCTTCCTCTACTCGCCCGTCTTAGAAGGAGGACAATATCGGGTCATGAACTTGTTGAGGAGATCGTCCCAAGAGGTGATGGACGGGGAAGCAATTTTGTGTGTGTGCATTTACGCATAAAATTTGAAAATCTCGAATAATGTCACACACTTAAAGCAAATTCAAAGTTTGCCATACTTTGAATTGCTAGTCTCTACGTTAACACATTATCTAAGGGAGGCTAGTGTAGGGGCTATGAAGTATGTCTTTGTCGTGAAGGAGTCTTCTGCGCTTAAAGAAAAAACGTGGTCGATATATAGCTTCGTACAATCGATATTCTACCATGTACAGTCTACATTAATGGACGATGTCCCTGTAAATTAAGTGTGGGGTAAAAGCCAAGTGTGAGGCATCCTATCCTTGGAAAAAATTGGGGTTTGGAAGAGATACTATTTGAGTCTTTGTGGGGCTAGCCTACTAGATGATGCTATTTCCTCTCTAGCACATGTAAAATTTCCACCTGTACGATGGGGATTGCCAACTTGAGGAATGTGTTTTTGAGGGAACGGATAAAGATTCTGACACCCTTTGACTTCATTTCGTCCTTACGAAGTACGTTTTGAGCATCGTTGCAGGACCAAAGGTTTCTAAGTGCAAGGGTTAACCTTGTAAGCTTCTTTGATCCACTGCCTAAGATCATAAATCACATGTCATCGTGAAGATCTAGTATAGAGAAGGATGTTGAGTCTAGATTTGCTTGGGGACAAGCAAAGTACAAGTGTGTGGTCATTTGATGACATGTGAAAGTATATATTCTAGACCTCGTATTGTGACCCAAAGTGCATACGTTTTCCATCAATAGTGTCATAATACCTTGAAACTATGCCATGATTGCCTCAAGTGTGTTGTATCAACCCTAGGATTTCTTTTACACGATTGATACGCTTTCGGTAGCATTCTGTGCATTTTCATGGCAAAATAGTCTAGCAGACCACTTGGAAGCCGTAAGGGAAATCGAGACCAAGTTGCTAGAGCTAGTATTTGAAGACCAGACACATGCGTGAAATGGTATTTGGAGCGCTATTTTGATGAAGGAAAAAAGGCAGCCACGACTCCGTTTTAGGGAGCTCGTCCATTTTATCAAGAAGTTATCCCAAAGCATCCTGATTTGGTGGCCACGTGTTTGGAACGCTCTAATTGGCTGAATGATGTATGAGATACGAGTTTTCCTCCCTAGAAAGCCTAATCGAATACCTATAAATAGAGCTATATAGGTAGAGTTCTAGGAGGAGGAGACGAGAGTTCAAGGAAGGGTCGTTACTCTGCCGACAGAGCAACCCTCCCGATTTACAATAAGACCAACCTGCGAGGGGAAATCAGCATCCAAAACACGCCCATGGACCTGTTTTCTCTGTTATAGGCGCTGATTCTAGTGGGGCTCCTCGTATCTTTGTTTCCACTGTGAACACCCAGGAACCCCTTCCCGTGGCTGGCTAAATTTCTTAGTTGCGTAGGTATGTGAACCCTAGGGGTTATACTCATGTAAACTCGATGATTTGGTTTAATACGATTGTTTGCTTTTCATATGTGTAATTCTTGATTTCCTCTATTTTCGTTATTTGTTGATTCGAATGAGAGCTTACAATAGATCCCCACTCCTTCGAGGTGCAAGGATCGAACACCCAATCGTTTAGGATGGAACTAGAAATAACAGTCCTACTCGATCGAACTTCATTCCATCGAACGACGCGATGCCTCATGGGAGAAATCCAAAGGTCCTTGTGGTCCATTATTTTTGGTTAATGATTTGACATAAGATGGGATCTAATGAGATAAGAAATCGGTTACTCGTATGCTACCGATCATTGAGGGCGCATGTTAGGAGACCTAGGGGGAGCTGCTTATGCAACACCGAAGCAAGAATCCGCCTTGGCAACATCATCTATTCGGAATTTTAGAGAAAATGGGCAAGCGAAGGAAGTATATGAGGCCAACACTTTCAAAAGGTGTTATGACGTAGAGAAGATGCTAGATGAGAAGGATGGGGTTGATACAAGCATTGTGGTGATGACAACCACTAGTCACCATTTTGTTTAAAGATCGAAAATGGATCATATCGGTTATACCAAATGCATTTCCATAAGTTTTATAACTAGTACCGTTTGAATCCTATTGTACCGACAAGATGACAACCACTAGCCATTAGCCACCATCTCGGAAGTTGACACGAGAGGAATTCACTTCCGTAGGGTTTTGTAACTTTTTCGTTAATTCATGTTGTTGTTTATTATTTCCTTCTTGTACTAAAAAGAAATCAATACTTCTAGCCTTCTAGGAGGGGAAACTTGAGAGAGTATACGATTTATCTAATATGAGCAATTTTCGGAAAACGTAATAAAACCCAAAAGAAGCAGGGAATGGGAAAAAACGAAAAGCAATTTCCAAAACTAAAATAAAAGTGATTGTAAACGAAAAAAAGAAAAAAAAACCAGAGATATCGGCAGCACGAAAAACCCTACTTACTCAACTCTTCTTTTCTAGTTCCTCCAAAACCCCTTGGCAGCTCTTTACCAACTCTCTGTTCCGACTCCATCCCTATCCTCCGGCGGCTCTCTCAACTCCATCCCTATCCTCCGGTGGCATGGCTTCATCAATGGAGTCACTAATCCTCCAACTTCACGAGATTTCCGCCGTGAAGTTCGGCAACTTCAAGCTGAAATCCGGCATCTTCTCACCAATCTACATCGACCTCCGCCTCATCATCTCTTACCCATCCCTCCTCGCCCGAATCTCTCAAACCTTGATTTCCTCCGTCACCACCGCTTCCGTCGCATTCGACCTCGTCTGCGGCGTCCCCTACACCGCCCTCCCAATCGCCACCTCGGTGTCCCTCTCCAACAACATCCCCATGGTCATGCGCCGCAAGGAGGTTAAAGACTACGGCACCGCCAAGGCCATCGAGGGCCACTTCCAAGCTAACCAGACATGCCTGATTATTGAGGATCTCGTGACGAGCGGGACTTCGGTCCTTGAAACGGCGGCGCCGCTGCGTGCGGTGGGATTAAAGGTCACGGACGCGGTTGTCTTGATTGATCGGGAGCAGGGCGGGATGGAGAACTTGGAGGAGAACGGGATTAAATTGCACGCCATGATCAAGCTGACTGATATGGTTAGGGTTTTGAGGGAGAAAGGGAAGCTGGGGGAAGATGTGGAGAAGCAAGTTATCAAGTTCTTGGAGGAGAACAAGAAAGTGGCCGCTGTGCCGAATGCGGAGAAGAAAATCAGCGTGAAAGGCTTGAGTTTGGCGGAAAGAGCGAAGCTTGCCAAGAATCCAACTGGAAAGAAGTTGTTTGAAGTGATGATAAAGAAAGAGAGCAATTTGTGTTTGGCCGCTGATGTTGGGACTGCGAAAGAGCTGCTTGAACTCGCGGAGAAAGTGAGACGTTTGTTGGATTTCTATCACCTAACATGATTTCCTTCTTCTTTGTGCCCAGTCTTTGCAGGGAATCAGTGGATGAGACTAAGAGTTGACATGGTCCACTGGAATGTTTTCTTCTTCTCGCTCTTATGCTGGCTTTTTTTGTGTAGGTTGGACCAGAGATATGCTTGCTGAAAACCCATGTTGACATATTGCCCGACTTCACTCCTGACTTCGGTTCAAAATTACGAGCGGTATGTCTCCCTACACTTTTGCTTCTTTTCAGTTTGGCAACTATGTTGGAAGTTATGGTTGTGGTGCAAGTATGTCCGGTGAATGTCTGAATTCACTTTTAGTTTGTCCAGTGACTTGTTGTTTTCCAAGATCAGTTGAGTTGTTGATTTGCAGAATGTATAATGCTCCTCTGTTGGTATCACCAATTGCACAGAAGAGATGGCCAACTTCCCCATGAAGGGATCTTACTTGATAGAAATATCTCAGCTGCTGCTGAGTTAACGTTCAGTTTATTCCAATAATCTTAACTTGCTAGTTGCTACCATGGATTTTCAACTACCCACTTCTTTCTTTCTTATTTCAATTTTTAATAGCCTTTAACCACACGTCCACACCAATCTTGTCAAAATGCGAGTAGCTAGCTGGGTGGGGTAAGTGCTTGTGTGGAGATTGCAGTCATGTGTTCATACTTCAAATATAGGAAACTGTAAGTTTATGTCTATCAGTAACTGGAACTAACACTTATGTATGCTCTGGTCTGTTGCTCAGATTGCAGATAAATACAATTTCATAATTTTTGAAGACCGTAAGTTTGCAGACATTGGTAACACAGTGACAATGCAATATGAAGGGTGAGATATGGCTCCCTGCAGTTGTGTTTCCAATCTCTGAAATGCTTAATAATAAACAACACTGAGCCCTTTTGTATTTTTTTTGTTTGCAGAGGAATATTCCGGATATTGGAATGGGCTGATATAGTTAACTGTCACATTATTTCCGGTCCTGGAATTGTTGATGGACTGAAGCTAAAGGTTTGCCTCCAAAAAGCTTGAATTGAAATAGCAGATGATGAACTCAGGGAGCCAGATCGAGTGCCATATCTAACTGTTGTCCATCTCTTGTGGTTCTTCTAATCAGGGGTTGCCTAAAGGCAGAGGTCTATTGCTGCTTGCTGAAATGAGCTCAGCTGGTAACTTTGCAACAGGGGACTACACTGCAGCAGCAGTCAAAATTGCTGAACAACATTCCGATTTCGTTGTTGGCTTTATTTCTGTTAATCCTGCATCTTGGCCTGGAGCGCCAGTCAATCCGATATTTATCCAGGCCACACCTGGAGTTCAAATGGTGAAAGGTGGCGATGCCCTTGGCCAGCAGTACAATACCCCATATTCTGTAAGTTACCTTGCAAAACTCTTGGTCGTCTTTCTGGTCGATGTGGGCAGTTGCAGTCTGATTTATAACTTGCCATCCTTTCAACGGCAGAAGTTTCAGATTGTTGTCTACCATGATAGTTAATGAACCATTACTGACTGAGATAAAAATATATATTCCACCAGGTAATATTCGATAGGGGCAGTGACATCATTATTGTGGGTCGTGGGATTATAAAGGCTGCAAATCCTTCTGAAGCGGCTCGTGAATACCGGCTTCAAGGTTGGGATGCATACTTGGCTAAATGCACATGAGAGAGCTTCTGCCCTTGGCCCTGCTCCTACCTTGATCTCGCTTTGTTATCGTTTGTCAGAGACGATAAAAAGGAGTTTTAAAGAGTTATAGTGTGCCCTTCTCATTGATGACAAGCTCGAGAGATACTTGACGGCTACTATCTTCAATATTTATTTTTCTGAGAAGTACCATCTTCGATATTATTTATAATGCAAGAGGTTAAGGTACTTTTGTCGAAGCTGTATGCTTTTAATTAGTAGGGATAGACATGAATCAAATGAAGAGCAAGGAAAATCCAGCCCTATCTATCACCTATACTTGCTCCCTTGGACAAAATGAGGGCCACAAGATGTGTTGCTGCCAATTCTATAATCTCGCAGCAAATAGTGCTACCTTCTTTCTCTAGTTTTGGACGAGGGGACAATCCCTCTCTACTTATCTTTCCAAATGCGGCCGGTGACCCTAAGTTTCAATTCCTTCCTGTCTCCACCAGAGAAGAAGAGAGCCATACTCCTGTGGATGATGAGGCCATCAAAACTGTCTCGAACCTTCTTGTGGCTGTCCCTTATGCTCCTTGGCACACCTTGCCATATCATCTTCCTCCCATTCCCTCCCACCTCCAGGCTGTAGTTGTAAGTCTTTGCCTCAACATCATCTCCCATAAATCTCAGAAAGGCTATGTACACCGGGGCTGATGCCAGCTGGTACGCTTCAAAGTGCAGGCAAAAATACTGACCGAAGCAGCTGAAAACCTGGACAAAATGAAAAACAAGATCCAGTACGTGCGGATGAACAACAGAAGAAGAACAAGTAAAGGAAGCGAATCGTTAGTATTACCGTGAGCATCCATGTCGCATTCTCAACCTCATGTGGATTGGACTTGACGTATCGATGGTTGAAGCTACTGCCATTGTGCATATCCACTTTGTGGTCTTCTCTCAAATGGGTTACGAGGTGAGGAATATCACCAACAATGGTGCATTCTGATCCAGCATAAGGGCAGTTATACGGCCTATAACCGCACTGTGATTCATGGTTTAACTTGCTGTAGTAGGGGTAAATGGCTTGGCAACCAGAGCTCTGATATTTACAAGCAAGTTGGAGAGACGCTGCAACCTTTTCTAGAGCAAGACATCTTATGTTGCCAAGCTCATACCGACAAGTGGGGCAACGGTTGTGGACTTTTGGCTTGCACGTACAACACAATGTATGTCCATTACAACACTGCAACCACAAACAATATAATTTATTGCAGTTGCAGTGAAGTGCTTCTACTAAAGTAGAAGAGAATTATCATCAGTTTTCTGGTGAATCAATGTGTAGGTAGACCTGATGAATCGGCGGGTACATAGCATTGAGGCAGACAGGGCACTCCAATAACTCCCGGAAGTTGCTAGAAACAACAGTGATATTAGGTTTCATACTTGGCTGTGAATTTGGATCATTCATGCCTTCAACAATATCACACAATTCTTCAACTTGATGAGGAGGATCAACCACCCCTGCTTTACTTCTCGTATCTTCAAACAATGGATTAGCAGATGCCATATTTGGAGTGTCTGCCTCTGCCTGCCTGATTAGGATGATTATATAGATAATAAATTTTCATCTAATAAGGTTGGTTGATTTATTTGCCTTCTTCCTTGGCAATAGGGACCATCTGCAATCAGAAAAGAATGCCAATGATTTACATGATGATCTCTTACCACCAAATCTTTTTTTCCTAGTTGATTTATTTGCCTTGTTCCCTCACAATCACAATCACAAGCCTCGCCGATTTATGTTCTTTCAACCTAGAAGCAAAAAATTAAGAGCATCAGCTAGATAACTGATAGGAAGGCAACAAGAGGCAGAAATACGTAAAAACAAGACTTCAACCATAACACGTTAACTACTGTTGGAAGAGATATGGATGGCCTCGGTAGAGAAATTAAAAGGAATTCTTTTACGACCTCCACTCCACTCCACTCCACTCAGTGAACAAACAATTTAGAAAACAAATAAAGAAAAACACATATATAAAAATACCATCAACGGGGGAACCAATCATCAAAGGAACCAATATCACCAACTTTATTTAGAGTGAAATATCACAATTAGCGCATGTCAATTCAATAGAGACATTACATTGGATAATCACTAGCAGAATATTATAGACAATAAACCATAAGACACAATCAATAAACATTAAGGAGGAAGAGAGATGGGTAAAACATTAAACAAAAACCCCAATGGAAAAAGGGTAATAATTCTTCGAATCTGTGAGATGTCGTTGAAAGATAAATCACTATTAAAAAAATGAAATTCTTGACAAATGCATTAATTCTAATAGTAATTTATACTTCTGCAATTGTAACCAATAAATAATGTATACTTCTGTGACTATGAAACTACAATTGACAAACAGGACCAAACTAATGCAAGAGATAGAAAAAGTAGTTTCATAAGAAAAATAGTTCACCAATATTGAATCAACAATAGAAAGAAGTGGATAATTTTTTCCAAAGATAAGGAATTGTTGAAATCAAATAAAGCATAATGCTCAACATTTAAATTTGAACAACAATCATATCTCAGAAAACTAACATCAAAACACCAAACAGACAAAAACAAAGGGGGAAGTTACGTAACAACACTACCTTGATGACCCATATTGTTTTCAGCCAATGTCGAGTAATAGTTTAAAATTTCCACGAACACATATATATTGTAAATTAAAAAGTGGATCAAAAGAATTTATTTAAGAAAAATGAAATCACCTTCATGCGAAAAAGCGGCACAAAAATCCATTAGGAGAAGGATTTTAAGAGATGCAAGCGATAATAGAAACCCTAGAAGAGAAGGACAGATGGGCGGGATAAGGTTGGTAAATTTTCACTCTTCTATAGAACATGAAATTCGGTGAAATGTGTGTTACTATAGAACAAGAAGAAAATTCGAACTAAAGCATTGTGTGTGTGATATAGGGAGAAGAGTGCAAGGGTGTAGCCACAAAGACAGCGAGAGCGAAATGGAAAAATGAATGAAAAAGAGAAATTTCTTGAGAAGAAAAAAGGAAATGCTAAAGATCTCTTCTTTGGAGGATGTTGAGATCCTTTATTTCTCCTTGCTCCTTATACCTCCTAGTTCCTTTCTCCCTTCGTTGAGCGTGTACAATTGAAATATCTAGTGCAAGAAAAAAAAATCAAAACGGATAAGGATTTTTCAGTTGTTTGTATTCCACCTAATTGAATTTTGCTATTTTCCTTTCTATTCTTTCTCAATAGTCAATAAATCTTTGAAATTTATTAGAGAGAGTTGTTTGGAATTATTTAATGAATTTTTCTTGTTCGGTGAGGTTTGAATAATGGTTTCTATCGCGTGCCCAAATTGAGTAAACCAAAAGAAAATGATTTTAGGCACAACGAGAGTGAAAAAGTACTCTCTCTTATAATCCCGGGGAATCTAACCTGTTAAATCACCGCGATTGCAGCCTCGCTTTTAATACTGGCTCCAACTAGTGCGGTAAGCTCATGAGTCAAGCTCTTTGTGATAGTTCTCTAGAATCATATACAATTATGTCCAGTAGAATATGAAACACCCTAACCCGGCTGGGTACTAATTTTACCAAAATACCCTTAATAAACCGTGAAATAAAATAAGAACTGAAAATACTTAAAAAATTAGCGGAAACATTTCATAAATAACTTTAATAAATACCGAAAATAACTGTCATTACTTAAACACAAAGCTTGACACTTGGGCAAACTCAAACCTTAAAAATCTCAAAATGATCTCCAACCTATACTCATAATCAATATAATTATCGTGATACGACAAACCCGGTATGCCGTGCTAATCCCTCACCAGTTTTGGTCGTTCAAACACCGGTTTAACCTTCCATTACTAAAACGTCAATTTCACGAACGAACCCCGAATTAAAATCTGAGACCGTCCTAATATCCCCTGCAGTATCCCCGTCGATATTAGTTATAGGCTCCGGGTCAAATTCTTGATAAAAACACATCAAATCCTGGCCGGAGCTAAATTCAGCGGTTTGGACCCTGATAGACCGTTAATTACACATGTTTTTACCCCCTGTTCTTACACTGCTTGAGATGTGGTTTCTCGTGTTTCAGACCGATATCACGCTAGGTTGTGCTTGTTTGTGATATTTCAGGTCCTGGCAAGTGAATGAAGGTTTAGGAGCGAGCTCGGGGTCAATTGGGCGAAGATCGGGCGCGAGGCAAGTCACAAAGGAGGCCACACGGGCACACCCACAAATCACACGGCCGTGCAACTCATATTTCTGGTCGTGTGAGATTGTGCGAGAGCAAACACGGCCTGCCCTGACAACACACACGGCCGTGTGAAGGAGTGGCTTGGCCGTGCGAGTTTTGCCGAGAGCAAACACGGGCAGATGGAAGTCACACACGGCCGTGCCACTCTGGCCGTGTGAGAAGCCTGGAATTCGACTAAGTGATACGGTGCGTTTTGCCTCACACGGGCAACTGGGTAGGCCACACGGCCGTGTGGCCCTGCCCGTGTGAGTCGGGATTTCCTGGTTTTAAGCCAAATTCCGAACCAAAGAGGGGGAGAGCTGGGTTTTTGGATCCCAAACACCCAAGGGACGAACCAAAGAGAGAGAGGGAAATTTGAGGGCATTCTTGGAGTAGAGAAGGAGGATTTCTTCGCCTTGGAAGCTTGAGGAACAAGCCCGGACTTGAAGACTGATCATCTGAAGATTCTTACTGCAGTCTCTCTCTTCTCTATGGAGTAACTTCCCTTCACTTAGGTTTTGAGAAACCCTAGCTATGTTTGTTTGATTGGATGATTGTATGAGTACTCTGACTTGATAATTTTGAGTTCATATTCAATCTATGCATGTTTTCATGATTCAATTCTGCTTTAGTCGAGATTATTGATTCTGCTTTGATCCTATGAGAGGGAATACCTGATTAGGTCAATAGAGCACCATAGATTGATAGTAGTGGATCGATTGCTTTAGTCAAGGGTTGATTCACTGCTTTGTATCGATTGAGAACCTCTTTCGATAGAGGGAGTCTAGTTCAGAACGCCTTGATCAGTTGTTCTAGAGAAGGATACGTCCCTCTAGGCAATTGACTCAAGAGGGCCTTGTTCCTTTAGTCGAGACTCAAGGTCTAGTCAAGGATTCTCCGCATTGTGAATGAAAGTGAAACAGGTTAGAGATCATCAATCATTAATCTGGCTAGTGGCTAGGGGGAATCATACCTAAGTGAGTTCCCAACCTGTAATTAGATTAACTTTAACTGTAGTGTGCTAGAGTAGTTTTCGTTCTTTCATCTTAATCTGATTTGCTAAATAATAAACTGAAGCTGAGTAATAGTAACTCTAGAGACCTGTGGATTCGATATTTATTACTTGAGCCACTATACTGCAGTCCCTATCATTGGTTACACTTGGCCTTTGTTAGGAGTTGTGTCGTAGCGAGTCAAGTTTTTGGCGCCGTTGCTGGGGACTTTCTAGAGTATTAGGAAAGGCAGAAGTCACCCTTATGCTACCATACAAGAAGAGGAGGAGGAAGAAGAAGGCTACAAGGACATTGTGGAGCACACTGAAGTTGTCACGGAGAGCTCCCGTGATGATCATGATCAGGAGTGTCCTGTCGTAGCCGACCACACCTTCCCACACCCCAAACTGCGCTTTGAAGAGGCGGGCATGAGTGAGGAGTTGCAAGAAGATCTCATGAAAGAAATTGCTTGGCAACTTGCTCTCCAATCCGTGCTAGAAGAAGAAGAGCAACAAAGGGTGCAGAAAGAAGTTGTGGAGGATGACGAAAGTGAAGCAGGAGGACTTCTTGATCATTTCCTAGGGGTGATACCACATGAAGAAGAAAGGGGGGTTGAAGAAGAAATTGGCGTCCAGGCTGAGGACGGAGTTAAGGTGGAAGAGGCCTGCACTGGCCATGAGTTACATGTGATAACTCCACCAAACTTCGAGGAACTGCTTAGCAAGGACCCATTTGCAGTGTCTCTTTGCCAGACCAAGGCCACCTCAACATCGGTCCCTCTTGGTGGACGCGATGGTGGCCAATCGATGCTGTCATATCTTGTTTGGGGCAATGAGACGAGAGAAGAGAAGGAGAGGTCTCGAGGGTGGAGACTTCATCTGCATCAAGTACATGAGCCTTCATCACCTGCCACACCACATGCTCGTGACTTGAGACTCCACCTCATCGACGAGAACCTCAACTTCAAGGAGGTTCTAGCATGGACCGAAACTTAGGAGCCATCGTCCAGCTCACGACGTGAAAGAAGCTCTTGTTGGGAGGCAACCCAACCAGTCGGTTTGCATTTCTGTCTCTATTTCTCCTCGGTTGAGTCAGTTTGCTATTTGATTTTAGAGTCAATAACTCAACCTTTGTGAGATTTTGTGTGGTGTTTGTGTTCTGATTACTCTCTCTTTCTGGATGGCACCGCCTGACCCGTTCATCATCATTCACCCTTGATCTGGTAACTTCGTTCTACCCTCCTTATCTTTCCTCCATTGAGGACAATGTCGTGCTTAAGTGTGGGGGGATGTTCGATTATGTATGCGGGTGAATGTTTGGCTGTTTGTGTGCTTGGAGCCTAGTCCACTCTCCAAATTTTTAAATTTGAGGGCTCCAAGTACGTGTTCCTTGCAATTGCCTGCTCAGTATGCTTTGAATTGACAGTCTTTATAGTAATATGCAACCTAGGGAGGTAGTGTAGCACTATGGAGGATGTTGATGCATTTAAGAAGTCTCATTTCTTCTTCATATTGAGTTGGTTGATTGAGTGAATTAGTGATCTTAGGACCCTTGAATTGTGTGGTGTTGTGGATTCTCTACCTGTCATGGACTCTTGTATCATGTTTTGAAAATAACAGGTGCTCGAAAATGTGCTTCAAAATAAACGTCTCCCGTGCGAATAGGGCGAAAGTGTGTAAGGGGAGACGGGAATTCGTTCCCAATTTCCACCTACTACCTCCAGCCCCCTTACATGTCTTTCCCCCGCACGAGGCTCGAGACATCCGCTCCTGGCATGGCCGGTAAGAGCAGGTTGGGACCCTTGAAAAAGAAAAAAGAAAAGAAAAATAACAGAAAACAAGCATAATAGAAAGAAAAGGGGTTCCAACCACCCTTAAGCAGAAAATAGAGCACCTTGAAAAATGTGAGTCCATGATCTGTTGTTTTTGAGAATCTCCTCATCCACAATTCATTTGTCCTCTGTTCACTATTTGCCATGATGCCGACTCGCCGAAGAAGTTATGAGATGACTTGTGCGTTGGTTGACCTCGTAAGTTGCTAAATGATCTAGGAAGTCCTCTACCTACGATCTGGGTTGTTTGTTGCTATAGAGGTCTGGAGAGCTACATTGGTTTGAGTTAGGTTTGCTTGGGGACAAGCAAACGGTTAAGTGTGGGGGAGTTTGATAGACCGTTAATTACACATGTTTTTACCCCTGTTCTTACACCGCTTGAGATGTGGTTTCTCGTGTTTTAGACCGATTTAACGCTAGGTTGTGCTTGTTTGTGATATTTCAGGTCCTGGCAAGTGAATGAAGGTTTAGGAGCGAGCTCGGGGTCGATTGGGCGAAGATCGGGCGCGAGGCAAGTCACAAAGGAGGCCACACGGGCACACCCACAAATCACACGGCCGTGCAACTCATATTTCTGGTCGTGTGAGATTGTGCGAGAGCAAACACGGCCTGCCCTGACAACACACACGGCCGTGTGAAGGAGTGGCTTGGCCGTGCGAGTTTTGCCGAGAGCAAACACGGGCAGATGGAAGTCACACACGGCCGTGCCACTCTGGCCGTGTTAGAAGCCTGGAATTCGACTAAGTGATACGGTGCGTTTTGCCTCACACG